CTATGGACGCGCATCGTTAGCAACCCAGTGAGGTAGGTTATTTCATTATCCCCCATTAGGTGAAAGACAAAGAAACACAAGAGAGGTTAGGTCACTGGTCCAAAGTTACACAGCTATGAGAGCCGGGTTCCAATTTAAGAAACTTCCCTCACTAACTATACTTGAGCGAAGGAAATAGGAGACAGAGCACGGTGCCGGAGATGGATCGCTAAGTCCCAGTTACGTTCTGCACTCAAGGCTCCCTTTCATTCTTCTGGAATCAGGTCCTTCAGTTGCAGTTAGAAGAACCCGACCAAGGCAGGAGCGCCCCCTCCTGGAGGACCCACTGTAGAAGATCCTGCGCAGGCGCCGCGGATAGGGCGGTGCCCGCAAGGCGGGCAACAGAGAGCCAGCTTCAGTACTGTGGGTTCTCCCAGCTTTCCGCCCGGCCCGCCCTTCGCCGCTAACGGCTCCTGGGTGGCCAAGGCGCATGCGCGGGCCATCAGCGGAGCCGCTGCCCAATGGAAAACGCGGTGAGGAGGTGGGTGCAGCCTGTTTAGCCTGCCGGGTGGTCCCGCCCTTGCCTCACGCAGGCGAATGGGGGGGGCGGGGCGGAGAAAGACTGCGAAGCTGGCTTGTGATTGGCAGTCGGCGGCAGTGAGCTGGGCGGGGGAGGGCATGGGCGGGGTCCGCCTCAGAGCGCGAAACATGGCGGGTCAGGGTGCTGTCGTCGGTGGCCGTTCTGGTGACGACTACTACGAAGACGAGGGTGAAGACAGCTTGTTCAAGGAGGCCGTGGAAGTGTTCGGCGAAGCTGAAGGTCAGGGGGCCTGGACAGCCACATTACGGCGCGGGCCAGGCCAGGGCCCTGCGGGAGGCCTACTTGGGTTTGCTGCGGAAATCCGCGGCGCAGCGCAGTCACTGTCTAGGGTTCTGGTTGTGCCCTGTTACCCTGAAGCAGGGAGCTGCTGCGAAGCATAAGCTTTTCCTCGTTGGGGTTCCCTGGGCCTCCGCTCTGGCTGTCCACAACCCGTTCCTGGTAGTTGAGGCCAGCGCCAAGTACGAAACTCTGCAAGATGGCTCTGGGACCTCTGAGCAAGTGCAGAGACGGAGGACGTAGGCCCTGACCTCATATAGCTTGTGAAGTTTGGGGGTACAGATGAGCAGAACCCAGTGCTACCCTGTCATGTCAGAGACTGGGACTCAGCGTCAGATGCAACAGTTAGGAAACCGACCCTGTGAAGTCAGGGAGCTGTCCCATGTGGACCCAGGCGCTCGCCTCTCTCCCCGCTTCGCCCTCCCCTCTCTGCCCCCACAATGGCTCCTTTGCTCCAGGCTCACTGGCCCCTCTTGCACTTCCTCCTCTGAGTCCCTTTAAAGGCCCACTCTTAGGCGTTGCTCCTAGTCCTGCTGCCACCAGAGCCCAGAGGGGGCGCGCTTAAAGACCATGGGGCAGCAGGACATTTGGGGGTGAGGATGAGGAACTTCAACTCTTGGCAAAACGGAAGGAATGTACAGGGGGTGCCACGACCTGGCACCCTGTTGGGGGAGGGGTTGTCCAAGAAGAGGTCCTAAACCCATACTGGCAGAAGGTACGTTGTCACCCTGTAGTGACTGGTTTTCTAAAGCTTCTGACTTGCCTTTTCCTTGCTTAGGACCTTAACTGTCCCTTCCTTGAGGGTCTGTATATCACTGAACCAAGGACGATTCATGAACTGCTGTGTCAGCCCTCCAAGTACCGGTTGGAGATACTAGAGTGGATGTGTATACGGTAATACCCTGGTTTCTTCCTCCTCCCATATGGTGTCCACACTACCATCAGCCAGCCCACGTGAGGGAGATGGGCATGTCCTCTCTGAGGGTTTCATAAGCCAGCTTGCCTGGGGAGAGCAGCTGGTTTGTTAAAAGTGCTGGATATAGAGCCATGCCCTACGTGGGGATGAAGCGACCACCAGCAGTGCTAGGTTAGTCCAGCTACCATCTTTCTGAGGCACTGGGTTTGGTTTCTGAGATTTCTTTTTACACATTTGGAGGTTCAGGCTGGCAGGCATCTGAGAAATGCTTTACTTCAGTCCTTCTCAAATCAGTGGAGCGGAGTCATGGAACTTATTGCGATCGTTGGGGAGAAGGGGACCAGCAGGACCTGAGTACAGGGCTCTTGCTTGGTTCTGAGCTCACCATGTGGCCTTTATGTAGAACTAGCTTTTGCCAACATCTGTGCCATGACCCTGTGGGTCAGGTGTGTATAGTGTGTGTCCTTCCTGAGTGTGTGTGTGTGTGTGTGTGTGTGTGTGTGTGTATGCTGGAAGCAAAGCCTGCCAGGAGGCAAAAGAAAGCTCCAGAACCTCCCACAGAATATCTGCAACTTGGGAACACCATGCTTGAGGTGCCTGTTCTTCCCCTGATGAAGCATCCCCTGAGCTCAGTCTCTGTCTTCAAGCTGCAGGTACAGAAGGCTTGCCCCAACTTCCCTGGGGAACTCAGACTTTTGTGATATTTGGTGTGACCTCTGATTACCTCTTTGGGATGACTTTTGTCTATTGGTATGGGAGTCTTTTGTGAGGCCAGACCTAGCTGGTTATCTTCAGCATGTGGCCTGCTTACTATTGCTGCTGAGAAAAGGGCCTGGGGTATCACCTGCACTGAGCTAGTGTGGCCTTTCAGGCCACAGATGTTAGCAGGACAGCCAGAGGAAGGAGGAGATGTTTTCAAGTTTGAACTTCTGTCTTTCTAGGCCTTTCCTCAGCCCCCTTCTGAGGCATTAACACACCAATACTTCATAACCTTTTGACCTCCCTAGCATTATTCTCCTTCTTGGAAATGCCCTTCAGGTCTCTGCATGACATACATACTCCTATATGGCCTTCAAATGCCTACCTCACACATCCCATTTCCTTTGAAAACATCTGTTTCCAGGGTGAAAGGTTTGAGAGTACCCACCCCTGCTGGAGCCCTTATCCCTTTGCTGCTCTCTTGGGCCACCGACCTGTCTAGTTCTCCAAAGCACTGGCTGTGTCATGGTATGGACACACAGTGGGGAGGTACTCCCGACTGCAGCCTAAGGAACAGGTGCATAGGTGCACATGCATCTATGTGCTGGTCAGGCAAAGCAGGCATGAATTGGCATCTTCAAGGGACTGGAGCACTAGTGGTATAATTCCCAGTGTTGAGCAGGAATGAGGCACATCTCTGTAGCTTGAGCCACAGGCTGTGGTTCTTGGCAAGGAGGAGGTGGCATTTGATCCGGGAGAGGACAGGTAATTGTGGGATGCTCATTTGGACAGGAGCAGAGAGTAGAGGTATGGGTAGGAGGGCTGGGCAGAAGTGGCCTAGGTGCCTGCTTAGGGCAGCTTACTCAGGGCCTTTTAAGCCATGTGAAGGCATGGACCAAGGGAGTGAGATGGCAAAAATTGGCATCTCGGTGAGGTGACATGGGGGTCTATATAGCAGATTAATATTTGGAGGGGAGTGGCTGGAGGCAAGGAGACTTACACCCCAAGAAAGGATGGCAGGAGGCTAATCTGGAGTAGCAAACAGCCTGTGTGATAACCATTGCCAGCCCTGGGGAACTAGTGCCTGGTCCTGGGAGAGGCATTAGTGGGAGAAGAGGCATTAGTGGGGATGACCTGCCCAAGTGTGACGGTCTTGAGGGAGCCCCTAGGAGGAGGAGGAAGCTCTCCTGAGAGGGAGCACAAACTTTCTGGTCCAGGCAGAAGCTGGGGCCAGCAGGGAGCCAGGGAACTCTGCTAGCTGAAGAGGGATAAGTTCAAATACGAGGAATAACTAAGGCTGTGGCCCTCAAACCCTTCTAGTACTTCTCTAGATACCAGAAATGGAATCATTTTAAGAAGAAGCCAAGGAGGGCTGGCAAAGTGGCTCAAGTGGTAGAGTGCTTGCCTAGCAAGTGTGAGGCCCTGAATTCAAACTCCAGTACTGCAAAAAAAAAAAAAAGGCAGCTAAGGAAATGCAGTGGTATTTCATGATACCAAGTTGGTAAAAGTGCCTTGGACCTTTCAAGGATCCTAAAGGAGGATTGATCAGATTTCAGTTTTCTTTGAAATTTCATGTTGTCTTGCTTTGCACATGGCTGGCTATACCATGTCAGCCTCCATTTAGGGCCACCTTTTCCCTTTTCCCCCTGAGGAACCTAGAAGCTGAACCTAGCATTGGATGGAGGCTTCAGTGTGCTAGGCACTGGTCCTCTGCGTGGGGTGGGACAGAAACACATGGACTCCTCTGTTGCCATGGTCAAGGTTTCCTTGCTGCTTTCAAGGCCTTGGGTACAGTTCCTTCTGCTGAGCTCCCTCCTACATCAGCAAGATTGACTTTAATGAAAGCCCTTCCTGATTCAGGCTGCTTGGGCTTTGTGGCTTGGTTTTTTAGTGTTGAGGGATTTACTCTTGTCCAGCCTCACTGAGTGGTGATTACTTTCTGCCCCACTGGCACCTTGTGATTGGGGACATGCCCAGCAACTCAGTAACAGAGGCCAGCCTGTTAGTGTGTTCCTCTTCTTCTCTCCCAAGTCTGTTTGCCCTGAACTGGGGGCTGTCATAATACATCATGAAGGCAGACAGTGCAGCTGAGGCACGTGGGCCCAGCCCTGTTTTTATTATAGTCTTGGTGCAAAGGCGGCCCCAGGAAAGGAGCTGTGAGCCCTCAGTATCCGCTGTGGATTTTACTACCACCCTGGGTCAGCAGTCCTATAGTGCTGGGGAAGTTCCTAAGTGACAAGTTCCTAAGCTAGTGCATGGTCAGAACCATGTCCCCAGGGCTTTAGAGCTATATGAGGCATGGAGCTCAGGGCCTGGGGGTATAGCCTCCCCCGCCAGGAGACCAGGGGTGCTTGGGCATGGGGGGACTTCCTACCTTGCAGTTTTTCTGGAACCGGTTCTGCCCAGCACATTGCTGTCTTAAGGCAAGATACTTACAAGGACTAGTTATGATCATGCTTATCCCCATGCCAGGGTCAAAGCTAGGACTGAACAGTTGAGAGAAATCAGAGTCTGTCACAGTAGGAGCCTTCAAGTGGCTTAAAGCAGAGCTCAGCAACTCTTTTTGTGAATGGCCAGTCAACACTTGGTCTGTGGCACACCACTTAGTTCTGCCACGGTAGCACAAAAGCAGCCATAGGCAGTCAGCATATGGAGGAATGGGAGGGGCGGGAGGGCAGGAAATAAGCCTTTATTTACAGAAACTGAGGGCCTACTTGTGAGCTAATCCTTGCTTTCAACTGTGAATTAGGCTTTTTGTAAAATACAAAACATTCCTCTCTGGAAAGAGCTCAGCATTGGCATTCACTAATGACAGAGATGATGGTTGGTTTTTCATTACATACTCACTGGCTGCCTTTTCTGTGCGGGACCCCAGAAATACAGAAGGGAAAGCCAGCTCCTGGCTTCAACAAGCCTGCACTCTGGAAGGTGACGGTCCAGTGGAAGGATAATACCGGGCTCTTTTGGGACGGAGGGATGCCAAGGTGGCTGCAGGGTTTTCTGGAAGACCTTTCCAGCAGGACTGGTCGGGCCAAGCAGGAGTGAGATGAGGTGGTGACTGATGTGCTCCTCCCCAGGGAGCAGGTGCCCACCCAGACAAATTCCTCAGGCTCTGAGCTTTTCAGGAAATGGCACTGTTCTTTCCCTTTTTTTTTCTTGTGAGAATTTTCATTTCACTATCCACATTTACATTTCTGAGATAAATTTTCTTAAGTATTTTCCCTAATTGGAGGAGATGAATTTTACATGATGTGAAATTAACCATTTTAAAGTGAACATTCCATGGCATTTAGCATATACACAAGTAATTCGCTTTTTAGAGTGTGGGTATAGAGGGATCCTGAAGAGTCAGACGCTCTTGGGCCTGAATGGCTTTGTGTTTTCTTGCAGAGCCTGTCCCTCCTTGAAGGACAAGTTCAGCTCACTGAAGGGGGCCCCAGCAGAGGTGAAGATACAAGGTAGATCTCCTTATGGGAGTATGGAATATGGTGGTAAATTGTGGGCAGTTCTGAACTTGGGCACAGCCTTTATACCAAGTTGTGGTGAATTTTCCATTGGACTGATGCTTTCTTCTGGATGGTGCATACCTTGTGGATGTCACTAGAACCTCCCTAGGCATGGTGAGTGGGAAACCTCTTACAGGTTTGTTGGTCCACCGCAGCACTGGTAGGTAGAGACAGCTATTCTTGCTTATGTCACTGGTATGTACATGCACTCTACATGTGGCAATCCTAGGAGCACCCTGCTTCTCAAACCCCGATGGGGTTTGTCTTGTAACCACTTTTGTTTGATCATTTCTTGGCAGAAACTGTCCTTAACCTAGTAACAAATGTTAGAGAAAGGTGAGCAAAAGTACAATCCTTGAGTCAGTGGTTAACTTTTCACCTTCACAGTGGTGTCTCCTAAATTTGATGTTCTATTTTAGAGCAGTCTGTGCCTTAATCCCGTGGCCCCTGTGTTTCCTACTGATAGGGCCATCAGAGGCTCAGAGTGCACCTGAAACTCCTACTGCATGCACATGTGCTGGCCCTGGCCCTTGGGCTTGCCTAACCGAGCCATACCCTGTTTTCTCTCCAATAAAGTGGGGGTGAGGATCCCAGCCTTACCTATCTTCCAGTAATGTGCTGAGTTTAAGTGGGAAGGACTAGGACAGGTAGGGCTTAGGATAGTACTTGACTTCATCTGATATGCAAAGCTATGTTTCTGGTGCTGGAACACAGCAGTGAGCTGTGCCACCTTCATGGAACTTCTGTGTTAGCTGATAGATGGGACAGGTGATAAACAAGGCTGTAAAATTCTTAATGCATGAGGTGGTGAGAGAAGCTCAGTAAACAACCAGGTAAGGGCAAGGTGGTGCCTAGGGTGGGATGGGGGAAGGATGGTCTTGTTGATAGAAGATGGCAAGAAGGTATGAACTAAGCTAGGCTGATAG